ACTAACATCTTCTTCCCAACTAAAGACCCATTGAAAGAAGTAGAATACATCAATAACAGTCTTCAAAATATATCAACCTGGTTTATCAAAAATAAATTAATAGTAAATTATTCTAAATGTAATTACATTATTTTTGGTCCGAAAATTTTAACAAATATTATACCTAACCTAGACATAAAAATGAACAATATTTCTATTCCTCGCTCAACCAGCACAAAATTCCTTGGAGTAACAATCAAGGACAATCTTTCTTGGGATATTCACATAGATACTATGTCTAAAAGAATATGCAAAACCCTAGGAGTTATAAGCAAAATTAAAAATAAATTAAATAAACCTACTCTAATTGACCTGTATTATTCGTTAATCTTTCCTCATCTCATCTACTGCAACGTAATTTGGGGAAACAGTCCTGACATTCATCTAAAACAGTTAACAAAATGCCAAAACCGATTCATCAGAATATTTAAAAATCTTCATCCTCATTGTCACACAAGTGAATATTATCTCGAAATGAAAATACTCAACATCAAAAACTTGTTCATCTACCACGTTGCAACATTCATTTTTAGATTTCTACGTCAGCAATTGCCGGCATTTTTTAGAAACTTTTTCACTTTTGGAACTTCCATTCAAGCAAGAACTACACGCCACACGCCACTTTTCTATGCCCCACCAGCCAGAATTAAAGTACTCTGCATGAGTTTGAAACACACCGGCCCAGGAATATGGGAGACGATTCCACAAGAAATTAAAGATTGTAACACTTTGCATCTTTTTAAAAATAAACTGAAAAATTTTTTAATTACGAAAAGTTCTGTTTTTCAAGGATAATAATGTATATGTATATATATGTATATAAGTGTGTACATATTTCATTAACATTGATACATTTTCTCCTATTGACAATTTTATTTTATCATTGAGAAGCAATTTTGAACTGCACGGTGGCCGAGCCCACAAGAATTAATTTTCTTTTTTTGGTCTCCGAATCATTCATGCTTT